AGAATGTGCAAATTCTTTGTTTTTTAAAATAGTATTTAACAGAAAGAAAGAAAAAAAAGGGGGGGTTACACAATAAGCACTACCGTCACCCCCCAAAAAAAAAGAAAAAAAGCACCATGAATGTACACGTATTAGATTGACTTGTTGCTTGTTGGCTTTCATTCTTTTAGTCGATTGACAATTGACGAATGCACCATTTACACTAAAGCAGCAGCAGCAGTTTGTTTCCGATCCAAAATTAGAGGGAACGTCCGATACGTAGCGGTATATTAAAATGTATTCTGCGTCGTGTATCATCCACGGAGATCATGTGAGGAGCGTTTAAATGCATGTCGGTTCATCACTGATTGCATTTGCCTTCATTTGTGACCCGATTCACTGCAGCCGAAGCAGTACGAATGCATTCATGATTTTAAACCCTTCTATTCATTATTTTGCTCTCAGGTATTTATTTTGTGTTATTTGTTTGTTTATTTATTCACTCATTAATTATATACTCATTGCAATACCTCAAAGGGAGAATGACTGTGTTCTTTACCAAAAGATTTATTTATTTAAAAAAAAAATTTTTAAAAACAGTCGACCACTGTGCCGCCCTTTAAAACAATCAAAGAAATTCAAATTAAAAATAATTTTTTAACTGTTTTTTAATGGAGGCTTCACCCAAAAAATCCAATGTTTTAAATTTAATAATAATATAGTTACTCCAATCATAATTGAAAAAATATGAAATATTAAAATCTGGACTTTACGATTATAATTAAAAAAATATTTGTGTTTTACAATACATGCAATTTAAAATCAACTTTTTTTTTTTTGCAAGGAAAAAACTGTTAGTGTCTCATGCTCCATTTTTGCTGTTGTCTTCATTTCACCCAGTTTGCCGATTACTATTCATTACTTTTTTTTTTTTTTTTACTTGAATCCCTCCTACAAAGTCGCACGTAACGCAAAGTCAACATGAGATCCCCTTGCTGCTATGTGACTCACTACGTCCTTGTGTGTGTGTGTGTGTGTGTGTGTGTGTGTGTGTGTGTGTGTGTGTGCGTGCGCGCGCGCCAAGTGAGCTGATGTACGCTCGGTTCCGTCTGAATGCTGGATGTCAAAAGAAGCGAAACAAAGGTGCCAAGAGAAAGTGGAGTGTGACACCATTAAAACAGAGTTCAACTCATTTCACTATTGTTGTCTCCTTTCTCTTATTTTTCACTCAGGAAAAAAAAATGAACAACCCAATTTTTTAGACAAAACAACCAAACCGACCCATGTTGTGGGTCGGTCCTATTTCTGACCCAAATTGGGTTATTTTTTACACTAGTTTTTAGGGGTTTACACAAAAAAAAAAAAACAGTTGGGTCAAAAATAACCCAACTTGGGTTAAAAAGGGACTGATGGTATTTTGGGTTATTCGTTGAGCGCAAAAATTTGGGTCCAATGAATAACCCACCAAAAAAAACAACTCAACTGTGATGACCTCTTCTACTACTACTGTTACTTCTCTCCTTCTACTGGCTATTCTGTCAACACCGTTACTTCAATTTTGAATTTGCTTTCCTTTAAGCGGTTGTGCTTTTTAAAAATCATCAACGTGGCTTGTTTCGTCGACAAATGACAAAGTACAGCAGCCGTCTTTGGTTGAGGTGTTTTATTATTTACACGTTTGCTCTCGTCGGCATTTTTATGCACTTCAAAGTATAAATAATCATAATTACAAAATCAGTGTTGAGATGATCCACTCGCACCGTTGAGGCATCTTCACAATACAAACGAGCACTACATATACATACGATATATCCAGTGGGTACTTGTACTTTATACCGTGATGTGATCCAAGTGCTTTGTTTTGGGTGTGCAACACCAACAATTTTTTATTATTATTCTTTTTTTTTTTTTTTTTTATGTACACTTGTTTGTGATATGTATATTTTCAATTCCTGGTGGAAATGGTGTGCTTTTTCCGCCTTTACAAACTCCATGCATTTTCCTTGAAAGCACAAGACGAAAAAGTAAGAATAGTTTGTGGTTGCATGGTACTCGACTCCATTTGGAGATGACTTGTTCGTTGGAGGGCAGCTGGAATGCGCAAAAAAAAAAAAAAAAACCTTTACAAACTTTTTTGCATTTTTGTTGTTTCTGTGTATCCTCCTCAGCCTGTTTGGATTGGCAGTGATTGAAAAGAAAAAAAAATAGACAAAAAAATCATCTGTACACTTAAATGTTTGAAAAGTGCACAGGCTGTGTTTGAAGTCCCATCGGAACATTCCTTACTGCTATACAATGACAAGTCCGGGCGGCACACAAGTGAGGGGCGGGACAAGAAGTGGCGAGGAGTTGGAAAAGTCATCCGTGCTCGTCGTCGTCTTCTTTTTTTTCTTTATGTGGCGTCCTTTTTTTCCCTCTGAGCGCTGCGGCGGATCTTCATTTCCGTCAGCTGGATGTAGCGGATGACGTTAGTGTCTGCAATGCAAGTGCACAAAGGAGGCTCCTTCATTTCAATTTTTTTTAAGTTGTCTATTTTTTTTTTGGGGGGGGTACTTAAATGTATTGTTTTATGTTCATTTTATTTATTTATTTATTTATTATTATCTTGTTTGGATTTTTTCAGATGTAAATTACCCTTTGACCTCTTGTAACCCCTTTTTAATACATGGATTAAAGTTCATATATTTTTTTCAGTTTTATTTTGGTTGTTCTGTATTTTATTTTTTATATTTTTGAATTTTTTTAAGTTTTCCATTGTGTATTCGATTTTTCAATTATTTGTTATCGATATTGTTATTATTTGTACCCTAATTTTTCACTTTTCTTCTCTTAATATTTTGTTTTGTTTTCATACTTTTGTATTTTAATTTCAGAAGTTTTTTATTATTTTTTCTCGTATTCTATTGATTCAAAGATTGTTATTTTTACGCAAATATTTTTTTTTCATTTGGTTTGTTTATTTATTAATACTGTTTCTTTTAAATATGCTTGAATGTTTGTTTAATGATTACATTTCATCTTTGGGGTTAATCTTTTATTGTATTATTATTTCTAATATATATAAAATATAAATCCCCCCCCCCCCAAGTAATTTGTATTGCGGATCAGTAAAAGCTATTCCCATGGTGTTCGCTTCAGTGCGTGCTGGTCACCTGAAGGCTCCTGCTTGTGCGACTCCTTCAGGTAGTAGAGGGCCTTCTGGAAGTCCCCCAGGTGGTAGTAGGCCACGCCCGAGCGGTACAGGGCCTTAAAGTTTTTCCCCTCCTTATGCAGCACCTTCAGACAGTACTCTTTCACACGCTCGTAGTTGACCAGCTCCATCTGGAGAAGGCAGGCTGGGTGTTGTGGAGAAGGAAAGTCAGTGACCACCGTGACTCATTGCGCTTAAGAACCGTTCAGGATTCGTTGGACTATTCCCCCGCTGTGGGAAAAGCACCGTGTAACGCAGTGGATTTAGTGTGTCGAAGCTGTGTCGCTTTGCGTGGCTTCTCTTGTCCCAAAACAAAATTACTTTTGTACAGAATTGTCTTTGATGTTGATTGAAGTATGACGGGTTCATGCAAGACTAAATTGCAATTTTTGCAAAAACACGCAATGCAATGGGTTGGTGGAAGACTGTCTTTGATGTTTCTAAAAATATCATAGGTCTAAATTTAAAAACAAAACATCAAAGACGTGATGTTTCCAAAAATACTATGTAGAGTTTCGGAATTGGCTTCAGTGTCTGCAATAAGACGAGGTTCATGTGTAACTAAAAGGCATCCAGGCTTCTTCTGTCGCGCTTATCCTCACTCGAGTCGTGGCTGTGCTGGAGCTTACCCCAGCTGACTTTGGCGTAGACCTTGGACGGACGGGTCACTCTTATTATTAGACGATTGTTTGTGTTTTGTGTTGGAGTTAATTCACTGCACTTCGTATCAGCTGTGTGTGTGTTTTCCTTAAGTGCTCTGTAAAATTAAGTTTGAGCAAAGCGTGGTGTAGTGCAGAGTATTTGATATACTGTACTCAGCTGTATTTATAGAGCTCTTTAAAACAACCTCTACTGGATACAGAGTGCTGTACATGGAGCAAAATATTTCATCCAACACGTGTAGTTTACTGTAGTGCAATAACGCAATGTAATTTAGGATAATATCGTGTAGTATAAGATCATGTAAGGGTGTAGTGTTAGCGTAGAGTAGTGCCTAGGGATGAACATAATTTGTTTGAAGCGTGATGTAATTTTGTGCAGCGTCGTATTTTCGTGTATATTCGCGCGCAGTTGAATTCAGTGTAACTGTCGTGCTGTGTACCGGCTAGGCTGTTGTAGCACTCGAGCTCGGCGTTCTCCATGGCCCCCTTCTGCTCCTCGGTAAGCGGACTGGACTTGCCGATGGCGGCCAGCAACGATTTGGAGCCTCCGCCGTCCGGGTCGCCGAACACCCGGCACAACCCCTTCATCTCCAGCAGCGCGCGGTGGTATTTGCCGATGGCCTCGCGGTACTTCTTGTCCTTGTAGCATTGCGTGCCCTGGCACTTGAAGTCCAGCGCCCGCCTCACGGCGTCGGCGGGCTCGCTGTGCGACGGCTGCTTGAGCATGGTGGTGCCGCCGGAGGTTCCTCCGTGGTGGTGGTTGTGATGGTGGTGGTGGTGATGGTGCCGCTGGTGGGGGCGGGCATCTCTGCTTCGACCGCCGCCGCCGCCGCCGCCGCCGCCGGGAGGAGGCTGCGCGCCCGGCTGGAGCCTCGGGGGCCCGCCGCCGTTGTCAGCCGAGAGGCCGCCTCTGCTCGCCTCCACCCGGGGGCCGCCGACGACGTCGTGGCCGCCGCCTTGGATCAAGCTCATTTTCGACATGGTTCTTAAAAATCGTCCTTCCTCCCTCGACTTTTCACTGCATCCTCAGCCTTCCTCTGTTCCTCCTCCTCCTCCTCCTCCTCCTCCTCGTCGGTGCAGCAGATTGCGCGTCCGTCTTCTGGCGCAAAGCAAAGCTGCTGGATGATGCGCACGGTCGGTGCGCGCGCGCGTGCGTCAGTGCGCGTCCCTGTGATGCTCGACTAGCCCATTGGTTTATAAATAAGAAGCCAAGGGATCCCAAGTTGATCCTTCGCCAGTCAGAGCATATGTTACGCGTGCCATATATGTTAGTCCCCCCCCCCCCGCCCCCCCCAAAAAAAGCCATCATCTATGAGAGTGTAATGTAAACAATAAGTGACGCGCTCTATCTCAAAGTTGTTAAATGTATAATGTGTGTATCCCTCCTGGGTTTTTTTTTTTTTTGTTGTTGTTTTGCATGCTCGCATGAGAGGATAATTCGTTAACCGCTGTTTTCATGAGGAAATTACCTTGACCGGAGCAAACAATGATCCGCCTTCAGGTTGTTTTTAATCTTGCGTGCTGAAGCAGATAAACATCTCCTCGTGGCTTGTCAGATCTTGCCCAAGCTGCCACAGTCGTCATGCAATCGAACAGACTCGAGACCAGAAGAGCCATGAATCCCTCGACAGCCTATGATGTCATTGTTTCTGCAGCATGATGTCATTGTTTGTGTGTGGTGGGGTTCGAATATGCACGTGTTAACTGTATTGCCAGGGGAAAGATGTTCAAATGCCCCTTGATATCTATTTGTTGATCTTGGGGTGGGGTGGTTGTGGCTACACTACCAGCCCCCAGCATCACCACTATTTTTACAAACGACTTCCTCCCACGTTGTTCGTTACAGGTAACCCAGGAAATTGTCTAAGGCCCTGAGCGGAGAAGTGGCAGTAAAACAGGCCAAAATCTAGGTATTATGACATTAAGCAATTTACACACAAGCCGCTCCGTGGTTCTTCTCGTTGGGGTCTAGAACCACCCCTGCTTCAAACATCTAATGTCGGGGTTATTGTAAAATGGGGATCGGGGACATCACACCAAAATCTGGGGTATCAAAATGAATCATGGTACTGCGTGTCGGGGTGCATTTATCTCAGGCCCCTTCCCCCGATGTGTGCACATGCTTGGGACACTCTGGCATTTTTTATTAGCTGTGGGGTCGTGACCCACTGAACTCAACTGTGCTGCTGTGTCCCACACTGGCAGTGCTGGTGAGCTCAGCTGTGTTTTGGGTGTGTCACTCAAATACCACAGTCCCTCCTGACCACATTATAAGGCCTGGGAGGGCTGTTAAGTGTGATTACATATAGAGCCGGTGGTTATATAAAGCCTCTTTTAATGTCTCCGGATGATACTGTGGCTTTAAATTGTTGGATGTTGTCAGGCAAATATAATTTGTGAGGTGGAGGAATACTGTTTGAGTTTAGTTCTATAATTCTAGGATACAATGTGGCTATTGTTAGCAGTACAGTCAGGGTTCGTGATGGATTTTACTACCCTTTCATCTTGTTCAGGGCGCAAAGCAGTCACGTTAAATCAAATAAGCGACTACGTGACATTTACTTGTTTGAATTTGACTCAAATTTACGCCCCTTTTTGTTGTTGTTGTTACTTGATAATAATCTTGAACCCGTTCTTTTTTCCCTTCTTTCTTGAATAATGCATTTACAAACACACAATTATTGCATTGCAAAGGGTACAAACATGAATATAATATGAGAAACTAAACAACACGCGCACACTCAAATCGAGACTCAGTTCCCCACGCCTGTATACCGTCATCAAATAGCGACAATGCTACTGACGCCATCTTTGTGCGTCCGTTTATTTACGTCATGGCGTCGGTGGATTTCAGAGGTAGTGGAAAGCTGTTACATTATTATTTAAATTGAATACACACGCGTGTGTTTTGGAGACTAGAAGATGAGCGAATGACTTAAATCTCGGTTTCAAAAATATCATTAAGAAAGGGTATTATTGTTCTTCGTTTGTTGTTTTTTAGATTTTAGTGTTACCGATTAGCATTAGCAGCGCTTTTATTTTCATGGCTGGAATTCGAAGACAAGTTTTTTTTTCTAACCAGCCGCTCTGACTCAAGCCTGCTATTTATGCTCTTTAATAATATCGACGCTGAACGTAGTCATCAATGGGGCATTCTTTTATTGGCGTGTTTTATATATGCGCCTGTGTAGAGGGCAGCCGGATAACCTGTTTTACATTTTATTTCCAAAGTCACTTTCCAATGGTCTTGCCAATTGTATTGTAGCAAGTCATGATATGACACTTAATGATGGGTGGATTGCATCTTACTAAATGTATTTTGGTTGACATTGCAGACAACCTGCTGGGCATATCCTGGGTGGACAGCGGCTTGGTGCCCATCCTCAACCCTGGAAATGTACTCGATTACTTCTCGGAGAGGAGTAACCCCTTCTATGACCGCACTTGTAATAACGAAGTGGTGAAAATGCAGCGGCTCAGCCTGGACCATCTCAAGTATGTAATTGTACAATTTTCGGTGACCGAAATCTTCTCGGTCAATACTAACGTAGAGTAAGATGCAAAATGCCATAGATGGGCTAACGGAAAGTAGAATGGATGTTACAGTATTTGTAAACCTTTGATCTTGGCACACATGTGAACAGAGCATTTCACGGATACGACACTGAAGGTGCGCAACCCTAATCTTGAACTGTAAGAACCCATAAAAACACAAGTAGTGTGGGTTGACTGCGGTTTGTCCTTGAGGAAAATGTGCAAGTTGGTGATGGTTGACTCCACTTTCCTTGCTTTGCAGTCAGATGGTGGGGGTGGAGTACATTCTTCTCCATGCGCAAGAGCCCATTCTCTACATCATCCGTAAGCAACAGAGACAGTCACCCACGCAAGGTGAACACCATCTAAAGACCATAGTTTATTTATTTTGTCGTTGTTGTTTTTCTAATGCTGCAACACTTGAATTTTTACTCTCAGATTGTTTATCTTATGTCTTCTCTTTAACGATGACACTCGACCGCCATCTTCTCGTGTCGTTTTTCCACCAACCAGTGATTCCCTTGGCTGACTACTACATCATCATCGGAGTAGTCTATCAAGCCCCGGACCTCAGCACTGTCATCAGCTCCAGAGCGGTGAGAACCAGTCCACTGAATCCCCTCCAATTTTGGCGAGGATAAGGCCCAAGCCCCGTCCCGAATAGCGTCTATCCACTCGTAATTCGCACCCACCCAATGAAAATTAGCATTACTTGTGCCTAATTGAAACTCCTCAACTCACTTCAACACCATTACTTGACAGTAAGATGCCACAAGATAAAAGCAAATTACTCTTATTGTCTAAATTAAACTTCTCAACTCACATCGACATCGTTCCTTGACTCCAAGATGCCACGGGATGGAGGCGAAGCCCGATTATTGTCGAAATGAAAGTCTTGAAATCAATTCAACACGGTTCCTTGACAGAAGGATGCCACAAAATGGAGGCAAATTGCTATTATTGTCAAAGTTAAACTTCTCAACTCACGTCAGCATAGTTCCTTGTCTCTTATGTATTTATTTGTTTATTAACCATTTCAGCTTTCTGCGGTTCACGGTATCCAGTCTGCGTTTGACGAAGCCATGTCCTACTGCCGCTACCATCCTTCCAAAGGATACTGGTGGCACTTTAAAGACCAGGAAGAGAGAGGTGAAGCATTTTTGATCAGACGAAATTCACTAAATATGTCACAAGAACACTCTCGAGGAAGAAATGATGTTTTGACAGAAAAAAACAAACCAAAATCCAAGAAGAAGGAGGAGCCGGGTTCACTGTTTCAGAGACATCGCGTGGACACGCTGCTTTTGGACCTCAGGTCAAAGTTCCCGCCAACCTTCTACCAGGTACTTTTGACACCCAATGTTGGGCAGTATAAAAGGCCAAACTTGAAGCAAGCACTTGGCTTCTTTTTGAAGCTTGTTGACGATCTGCCAAACTGCCCCTTGTTGTGAAATTCGCTGGCACCATCGAGTGCTTGTAACTCAAATTTTTGCTCTCAGCTCAAGACACGTAATCGGCAGAGTATCTCAAAGAAGTCGAGGTACCACTGTGTTTATCTTTATTTTTTTTTCTATCTGCAATTTCAGCCAAAGCCTGGAGAGAAGCCCATTCCTGGTAGGATCTCGAAACTTAATATATCGAACTTTGTTGTCTTGAGATTTTGAATGATGAGTAACATGTTTTGAAATGCGTGTCACAGTTGAGGTTAAAAAAGAGCCCGAACCTCCCACGGAAACCGTCAAACAAGAGGAAAGGGAGCCAGCGGCCAAATCCTCCTCTGCCGCCGCTACTACCGCCACCGCCGCCGCGCCGACCAACAAGCCGCCTCCTGAAAAGCGAGCGCGTCTCCAGTGACCCCCATTACACCAACAGGAAACCCAATTAGGACTTTGTCTCCGCCACTCGGCCTCTGTGTGGTCAGGATGAGGAAGTAGTTCTCCTGTCGGCCCGGATGCCTCCCACACAGCATTATTGAATAATGATATCAATATGAACCCTGGTGGGGATGGGCCAGCGGATGTTTGATGATCTGTTTGATGACGTCAGCATTTTCCATCCAGGATTACTTTGATTTCCGCTCGTCTTTTTTACACATGCAGGAATGATGATGTATCCTTGGCTAGTGTGGGAACCCAAGATTCCTCGCCCGGCTCATTTCATACACTGCTTGTTGTCAGTTTTTTGTGTACTAAAATGTATTATGTTTTTTTTTCCTTGTGTGACAGCAATACGTTTTCGTAATTATGTTATTATATCCTCCATATGTGTTTATTCTTGACAACATTGGACTCACTGCTCTGTCTTGTCATCTCTTTCAATTTTCAAAAATCACAAATTCAGGAAGAAATGCTTTTGTTATGATTGTTACACTTGATTCATGTGTAATGTGGATGCTGAGTTAAATATCGTGATATGGATTCAGTGTTACGTGCTAACACGACCACCCTGTTGAAATGAGCAAAATTAGCTTTTCCAAAAAATTGACAATACAGAAGAAAAAGAAACAGAAAAATGTTCAGACAAAATTATTGGAAACTAATATAAATTTAAAAAAAAAATCAAAAATGTCACTTGACCAAGAGAAAAAATAAACAGATCAAATTAAATGCATACATTACAAATTTTAGCAATGATTTCAAGGTTTGGTGCTAAGAAAAAAATCGCTAACATCCACACACAATGTTAAATAAGGAAAAAAAATACATATAAAGCATAATTATACATAGAGGGAACTAAAAAATATAATCTTGGACAAAAATACACAAAGACAAGAAAAACTACAGAACTGGTTCAGACAAAATTCATGAGCTTTATTGCTTTAGCTCTTTATATCTGTAGAACACTTATTTTTTTAATATTTTTCTAATACAATACTGTATTTCAGTACTGTATTTTCGTTCAAATATTTTTAAAAATTGTATGTTTTCGCGTGGTTATTTTCAATAACATGTTTGTAGTATTCTAAATTTTAGATTTTATTTTCTAATATTTGACTTTTTAATTGATATGCATGGGGGGATTCTTTATTCCAGTATTCACCCGTAATACGCAAAATTAACACTAGATGTCGACAACTTGTTACTATTGGGCCAAATTGGAAAAACTTCACTTGTAGCATCAGCTGTTGCTGAAATAAACTCTTACTTGTTTCCTCAAGTACATATAAACGTATTATAGTTCATAGAATGACGGCATTTGCAGAAAATGTTATACAAGCTAGCCTCTTCGCGCTCTTCTTCGCGTAAACCGCGACGGAAGCCACGAAGAAGAACGTCAACGCAGGGCGTGGTGGGATAGCACTGTCCTCCGGTGGAGGACTCATTTGAGCAGCCAAGCGCCCGGGTTTGGCTTGGCTTGGCTGACGGCTGACTGGGGCTAGCTAGCGGCGCTAGAAAGATGCCTAGGCCAGTGTCTCAAACCAACAACACGGCGCTGTTCGTCCTTTAGTCGTCGTCGGTGGCGGCGTTCAGGTCGTGCTCGCCGGCCGCGGTGGTTCCCGTCGTCGTCCGCTCAAGCAAGCCATGGGCTCGCAGACCCTCCAGATCCTCAGGCAGGGGGTCTGGGCTTCAATCACCGGCGGGTGGTACTACGACCCCGACCAGAATACGTTCGTCAACGCGCTCCATCTTTACATCTGGCTCTTTTTGCTATGCTTCCCCTTCACGCTGTACATGGTGAGTTCCCCGAGCTTTCTTTTTTCTTCTGCTTTCTTCTTTTAACCTCGCCATTTTATTCGACAACCAAGGGAACTCGCGTTTCTCCTCTCGGCTTCGGGTCCAGTTTAGTGGCCACTGGGACAGTAAAAGCCTCCCTGGTCTGTCTCATCTGTAGCGTACACAATGTAACGTGCCATTAAAGTCCAACAACACCACGAAATTCCCCTTTGTGGCTCAAAATAGACCGTTCTTTGTAATATTTATGTTCGTTTGAGCTTGTTAAGTGACTAAATTCTTCAAAATAACGCCTGCTTTTTATGAGTTAACCGTCTCATTTAATTTACACTGGATCTTGAGTGACTTTACTTTTTTTATTAGATACCCCCAGCCCCCTTCAACTCTTATATTATTCCTTTGTTGATTTTAATTTGGTTAATTGTTCAGTCCCAGTACTAAATAATTTTTAATAAATTATTTACTCATCCGTTATCTTTACTGCTTGTAGTGATTTGGGCCAGCTTATCCCAGCTGACTGCAGGGGCCATTAAGATAGATACAATAATGAAAAGACAAAAAACATTGTTTATTTGGATTTTTGGGTCACATTTGGGTCAGATTGCCCCTGAAACATGATTGCTGTTTCCTGAGAAATGACTATAATGGGAACATTAGAAACAATTCACGCAGTCTTTAAATTCATTTTCAAAACTCCACCGCTGCCCTCAGATTTCTATTAGCACAACCCCAGTGTCAATTTCCAGGGCATACTAACTTCTATATTGAGGGTGTTTCAAATTAGTTTATGGCTCGACTTCTATTCCGAGAGTGGAAATCCACCAGTCAGCTCTGTGATTTATAACCTGAGCCACAGCTAATAGCAATGCCAACGGATGTAGAGGGTGTTTCAAGTGCAGTGGCAGAAGATGTGGGCCGGGGGTCAGCGGGGGGTTATTGTGTCGTCGAGATACAGGTGTTCATTTACACTCACGATCAGCTTCTGGACGGTTGTTATTTATTTATTTATTTGTTTGTTTGTTTTTGCGGACCAAAACAGTCGCATCTACTGACACACAAAACCCCTTGGCCCTCAAGATTTTTAAAACGAGTACCGCTTCAAAAGATACTAAGCTTTATAAATGCCACCATAATAATCGATATAAAAATGCTGTCACATCGTAATGACATGTGTTCATCAGAAACAAGAAAGCGCGTTGGCTTCCCCATTAGAGCTCTGTTGCTAACCAAAACAGCAGCACAGACTGAAGCACATAAACAGCCAAATGTCCCTATCTTGCGGTAGGCGCTGCCGCCCACCATGGTCATTGTGGGCATCTACTGCGGTGTGATCGCCGCCATGTTCCTGCTACTCAAGACGGTCAACTACCGGTTGCACCATGCCTTGGACGAGGGCGAGGTGGTAGAACTGCAGGCCAAGAAGTCGCAGGGCGGCCGAGGTGGAGCCGAGGTTGTGCGCGACGTTGGCGCTACCCGACGGCAGGACAGCAATGGCCCGGGGTAGGTTTTTGGGTGTTTGGTGGGCAGGGGTTCTTTTTGGGACTCGGTGATTGGTCACGTGGTGGCTGATTTAACTCACAAACTGTTATCACCAACATCAACACGTCATTCTGAAATTAAGTTCCGTCATTAATTAAGGAGGGGGGGAAAAACATTAATTACACTCGTATTGTAAAATGTAGCGCCTGTTTCCAGCGTTAGCGGCTAGTGGCTAGCAGCTTGCTGCCAAGCAACTAGGCTGGCAAGAGCTGACGCATTCCTATTTTCAAAGCCAATAGAATAGGCGAAAATAACTCCGCACACTTTAATGCTTGATTACGTTTTGGGTTTGGTTTGTTTATTTAGTACAATCTAAAAACAGGGCAAGGAGGGAATGAAGCCTCAAGGGCTTGCACAAGATTCCACTCCTTTGAGAAAAAATATTTTCACTCTGGGATGCAGCACTTCATCACCAAGCCAAATTGAATGTTTTTCCCGCTTCGCCAAACTCAAATAGCCCTCCAGCTCCCACGATGACAATTCTCCGAAAATAAGAGGATGTAGTACCTATCAGAAGCTGACGCCCATGCTAATTTGTGCATCCAGGCGTACTGCAGCTCTGCATAGCTTTTGACTTGATAGTGCTTTGGCCCAAAAAATTGTAAAATTATAATTTGTATTTTTACCATTTAATGCAACACTTTATCACCAAACTGCCAAATTACACTTGCTGTGTCATGTTTGCGATGTATTTTTTTTTGGGGGGGGGGGGTTGCAACATGAGAAGCCTTTCTTGCTTCAGTGAGATATTTCCAGCTCAGTTGACCCACGCGCCTCAGGTTTGGGAATATGTCCACAGAGTCGCTGGTGTTAAATTCCAGAGACTCAAATGGCCCAGACGAAGGATACTTGAGTTCTAAATTCCAACAAATTATGTCTGGTCACAGTCAGAAAGAACAATAGTTGCTTTCTTGCAGGGACAATGTATGATGTTGAATGAAACGTCACAGGGGTATCAACTTTGGAGCCCCCATATGTTACCATTTGGTGTAAGGGAACACAATGCAAAACAGAAAAGTGCTTACCTTAAAAAAAGAAAACCCCTGCTAGCAGCCAATTCTCCCAAGAATGGAAGCTGAATGTACACCGATTCTGTCTTCACAATCGTAACTCACAACACGCATATACAGTATCAAATCGTCTTTCCCCATTGCCCCCTCTTTTGTTTAATAAGAAAATTATCCCTGTCGCGATTGGAATTCACTAACACATACAATAATAAATAACACTTAAAATTATGAAATGTAAAGAATTTCACAGTTTGTCTATCATGATTTTGTGCGTCCTTGCCAATTTACATTGCGGTCCTTCTGCTATGTGTGCCATGACCACCAGAGGGCAGTGTGATGCAAAAATGCATGTAATTACACGAAGAAGAGTTTCACAACAAAGTTGCAGGCATGTTCGTTGCTTTTAGGATATATGACTTCCATTGTGATTTGTTGTGGTCAAATATCGATTGCTTAAAAGTTTGTAACCACTGAGACGTCAGCGCGACTCTTGTCAGTGGCTCTTTGCATTCTGTGTTGGCATTAAGCTAGCTGGCAATCGGGGTTCAATACATAAAATGATATTCTCTTTGTTTGCTGCTTGAACTTCATCTAGGAATGGCAATAAGAAAAATGCGGCTAGCGCAGACTCGCGCGTCAAGACAAAAACATGGTGCGAGTGACGACTGTATGTCGACATAAGTGTGGTCCCTTGTAAGTCGAGATATCGCTGTGTTTGCATGCAAACATGAAAAAAAACAGTTTTCCATAATATGTCCCCGGTAATGCTTATTCACCAAGTCTAAAAGCTCCTGCAGAAGGAAATAAAAACCAATGAGGTTGCACTCTTTTATTGCCCTTAACCGGACCGAGTGACTCATGTCGACATTCCACAGTGGCGGTCCTTCGCTGGCCCCTTTTGGAGAAGCTCAAAACACAAGCACTCCCCTTTTTGCCCAGCTGTCATTTGCCTCCACATCTGGAGGTTCAAAGTTTTTTTTTTTCTCTTTTGGTTAGCGGAGTCAATGTTACCCACTCAAGGTGTTGCTGTTGTTGTTGCGCGCTCCGTGCGACCGTTTCCTGGGATGTTTATCTTCACCGCTTGACCGCGGTTACGAAACCTCCCCGTTGCATGGAAATGATTTATAGACAGGCCCGGGGAAGGCTGTTTGTTTTTCAGTTATCACCGCCCGGTTGAAAAAACACATCTGGGCTAAA